GGGAACACCGCTCGTGGATTGGAGCTCAAACTAATAAAAGCCCGGTTAGCTGCATGCAGAGCACGCTCAGACAGCACGCACAGTGACAGCCTGGATTCCAGCACGGCTTGTTAGCTCTGAACTCATCAGCAGACATGCGCTGACTGCAGCTGAATTGGTCAGACATGTATCGTCACAACACTTAGAACTTCTGACTGTAACTCTGCAGATTGGAGGATGCATGCAGAGAGCCAGCTCAGCCCTGAGCACCACCTAAAAAGCACTAAGAGATATGGACCTCTGAATGGGTCTGCAAGAGCCAGCTATGATCTAAGCAAGCTTCAATGTCCAAACTACCTCATTTTATTCCATTACCTAAAATATCCCCACCTGCCATTACCCCAATAATGGGGAGCTGATTACAAGTTCCCTCCGAAGGGAAACATCAAATCCAGTAGTTGTAACTAATCAAGAGATCTATAGCCATTTCTCATCTATCTATCTGAAAAGTTGAGTGCCAATGCAGGCTTAGATGAAAATACAGTTGAGACTGAACATATTCTGACATTGCTGTGAAGCATCTATCCTGTTGGAAAGTTTCTGGTCTTTATCTTCCTGTGCACTGGATGTACCTCCATATGCAGGTATATGTACGATGTCTTTTTTGCATATCCTATAAAGCCACTCAGTGAATACACTGGTCTGCTCATCTCGCTGACAACCTATTTGCTATGCACAATTCTGCACAAAAAGGCCAACACGCCCTTATATCCTATTTGTAGCTAAGAGTTCAAGAACTGGCATATAAATTGCAAAGCACTCTTAAGTACTCTCTATGCTTTAACCCATCGTACCAGAGTGGCTGAGGCATCTGTCTCTAATTAATCACAGCTAGTTTTTACGCTGAATGTGCAATAGATACCTTGATATTCAGAATTATATGCAGTAGTTCACCAGCCCAGGTTGCCAATATGCCATAGTTTACCGCTAGAGCGGCAGGGCTGAAATGAAAAACAATGCAGCTACTTCATGGCAGTTGTGGAAACTTTTCCCTGGCATTCTTCCTTTGCCAGCATACCTCAATGTACCCGCACAGGGCTTAGTTCTCCTTTGGTATGGAGGATGCTTCACACTACTATCTAAATTAGAGATGATGGTGTGACCCATTATAATTTTAAGAAACAGTTGCATGTTACGCGATTAAAAATGGAGCATTTTCTCACAGAGCAATAGCTTTCAGCACTGTTTTCTGTTGTTTTGGAAAAAACAGTCTTGGCCTCTGCCCTAAGACTTGGACTAATCATTAGGTCAGAAACTTTCTGTTGTTCTGGAAAAAACAGTCTTGGCCTCTGCCTTAAGACTTGGACTAATCATTAGGTCAGAAATTACTGCCTTGAATAACTACAGAATGATATTAAAGACCGAAAAAATAAGAGAGGCACAGCCACTTATAGGCACTTAGTTCTCTTATATAACTGAGAACAGAGGAGAAAATTTACAGATGTGAGCTCAAAAACCAGCAAAGCCTGTGGGGTTCACCTGGAAGAAGGGTACTTACATCAAAAGCCTCAAGAAGTTAAAGCATTACTGTATTTCCTCTTTATATCAACATTTCATAGCGAAGGCTACCGAGCCAAAATAAGGAAATTTATGCAATCAGGACACGCAGTAGAAAAACTCCTTATGGCTCAGTGAAATGTAAATGTGAAAACTGACCAGCAGTTGAGCAGAAAACTTCGTTCAGATGGATCAAATAGCGAACAGGATACCACAAGTGCATAAATGAGTTCTTGAGGAGTTGAATGCCAAGGAAAATGAGAGTATTCCAAATAGAAATATCCTCTGCGACATAAGATACATAGATTAATACAATGGCACATACACAAGCATAGCACAGCAGTGCTCTCCAACCCATTTACCTTGATATCATGTTCCGCATTTCGTTTTCTCTGCATGTTGTCATTTATTACTGTGCATAGCTAATTCGTCCCTTTGTTCTCTGCTGATATCTATCTAGCCATCTTCTGCAAAAAATTCAACTAGTAGACAACAATGACCCCCTTTCCATTAGAATGTCAGATGTTAGGAAAAACAGGGTAAGAAATGATACAACATCAATGCTAACAATAAAAATCTTCCTTTTAGCACAACTTTCGAATAATAGCGGAGCTTAGGGATTTAAACCTACAGCAATGTCTGCAACCCTTAGGTGTTGCGGGTTTTTTTAACCTCATAATGTGCACCATAGGGGCAATGGGGTTCTGACAAATATACATTAACTTCAAGGGTTACAAATACTAAGTTGCTTTGTCCCGTTTCCCTTCTGTGAATCTGTTGATGGTTATAGTCTCTGGCCTTCTCTGAAAACAACAGGGGATACCTCTAGGAAGCAGCCAGTAGGGGCTGATAAAGCAATAGGTTCATGAAAGGTGGAGTTTTGGTCTGTTTTTTAGTTAGGTAGACATAGAGCCATGAACCAAGTGTGAGAAGAAAAAGACCACCCTTTTGTAGGGTGAGAGGAAACTGGAGAAGTTGCTCAGCCTGCTGGGATTTAATATATAGATCCAATAAAACAGGTACCATTCAGAAAAACTCTTCGAGACGCCAGACTTACTGCTTCAGTTGTTGCTGTGACAAGATGCATGAAGCTACATGACCCAAAAGTTAGGAAGATGGCAAAGCCTGCGCCATAGACCAATTAAACATTTTGGGTAAAGATGTTCCTCGCGTCTGGAAGCCTGAAATCAAAGCTGGAGAAAAGACTCCTCAATCCTAAAGCCACAACCGTCACCAAGTGCTGACTCTAATCACAAGAAAGACCTGGGGGGTTTGCTGCTATTTCAAGAGGAATAGACCATCCACTGGTCCTGGTCAGTGGAAAGCTTGTAACTACGGTAGAGCAAACACATGCAGGAAGCAATAGAGCTAATTTGAAAATATGACTAGAACTACAGCATCTTACACTTAAAATCTACACACTAGAATTGAAGTATAGAAAAAAAAGTGCATTATAACAGGATAAAAGCATTTAAAAAACTGTGGCTATGGACACAGCACATTCCACATATTAAAAAAACCCACCTAAATTTAAAAAAAAAAAAAAAAAATCTTAATATCATATCACATCTGAGCTCTGAACATCTGGACAGCATCCAATGCATTCCTTAATCTGACTATTCTGGATTTTGAAGAAAGAGAACGACAGACTTCCCAAACAAGAACTCACCTGAAGAAAGGGCTATTATCATTCCCAAAAAGAAGAGCTAACATGAACATCCGAACACAGCATCCAGCTGTCTTTCCTTAATGTCTGTAACTCCTCATGGACTCAATAAAAATGTAACATTTTAACTCAGGTCTTAAAACTGCACAAAAGTTAGATGCCTGAGATGAATTTTCTCCCTTTCTGCATTTAATACAGTAACAGGCAGCCACCAGCTTTGAAGACAAATGCACACTACTATTACCCATACACTGCAGCCACTGATCTCCAAAAACAGTCTCCAAACCACCCTAGCTACTCCACATTAACTGCAACTCCACGAAAAGGGGCAACACAACTTCCTACACTCACTACTCCTGTCTCTCTTACCAACGCTCACTTACAGACGGAAGTGCTGCACAGCGTGGCCGCGTTTACAAGAGAAGTATCCGCGCTGTAGAAGACCCACGGTACGCTTTCAAAACCACGTGCCACGGGGCTAGGAAGGATGAATCTTTGAAATATGCTTGTAAAAGGACAGTAGTAATTACACATTCTCTTAACTGTTCGTAAGAACACAAAACACACAAGTCCCAAATTGTTTACAAATTTAATGACTTACAAATCTGCACTTTTCAGTACAACAAACTTAAGGTTTTTTTTAAAAATGATCAAAATTTCAGCATAATAGTTCTGCTAATACATCTATAATTTTTAAAAGAATATTTACAGAACTGTAATGAAAAATAAGACTTAAGCACATGAAAATTTAAGCAGAAAATAGCTTACAATTAAAATGGCAATAAAGTAATATGGCTTCCTGACTGCTGTACTGATCAAGAGAAAAAGGGGGACAAATACTGTTACAAAAAGATTCAATTTTATGTTTGCAGTTTTGCACAAGCACCCCATGGTTTAGGAACCACTACACATAGACAAATCTACTAAAACAAGTATCTAGGCTGTATCTGTAAACACGTTAAAGACATATATTTTGATAATATCATAATTCAGTGATTGCTTTACAAAATCTGAGCTTAAAATCTGAGTGCAAATCAATTCACATTAAAAAACTGCAATTTCAACTACTGAATTGACTTAAAAACTGGTTCTGTGACTGTTAAGACTATTGTCTTGTTCTTGCACTTGTTCTTGTGCTTGATCTTGTCTTCCTGTCCATCCCTCCAGCAGTCCGAGTAGCTCTCACATTCTCTTCACCAAGTTCTTCTTTAGCTTTGTTTCTTTTTCCTTTTTGTAGCGATCTATTTTCATCATTCTCTATTTGTACACAAAAAATTAACTGTAAATTTGTATCATAAATCAAACATTTTATACAAAATTCAATCTTCAGTTACATTGTTTTTAAAGAAAATGTCCCTAATGACTACATTCCAGAGATTACATCTATGAATTCAACAAGCCAGTTACAAACCCCATACTTCTGCGCATCCAATATCCTTTAAGATAGATCCCTGAGGATTTACAGCTATTTCTGAAAGTAGGTTAACATTAATGAGAGCACCAAAACCAATTAGCTACCATTTTAGCTAAAATTCCTTCTACTGATATGTAAAACTAAAACTGAAGAAAAATCCTGCAAAAATGAATATATAGCAACTGTTTTACGGTCCAGATAAAGCTGGAAAGTCAGGCTTTTAACTGTAAACACTAGACGCCTGGGCGAGTATCTCGATAGCACAGAAAAGTTAAGCTGCTCCAACAGATGAGCCTCAGCCCAAGTGCCACACAGAAACCGTCACTACAATCCATGTGGGAAAAGATGACCTTCCAGGAAGAGAAAATCCAGGCAGGTAGTAAAGCATCAGAAGAGATCGATCATTTGGCAAGTACATAGTATCAGGAAGCAGGAACTAGCAAGTGTGTAAAGGGAAACAAAAGAAAACTCAATAAACGAAGACAGATACATGGCAAAATAGATGTACATGTTATATGAGGATAAGCACATGCAATAGAAAAGGG